ATCACACTCAACCTATCACATCCGTGATGAATAAAAACACCCAGCTCCAAGAATTACTACGCAATCGCGGCTTCATCTTCGCTATCACGAAGAACAACTGAAACATTCGAAATCAGTAGAAANCAAAAATATAATGCAAAGATATCACAAGTTATGCGTCTTTCGATTGCAAGAACTAGTGTATATAGATGCAACAATTAAATCTTCCAAAACGATTCAAATACGTAAAAATAGAATTATAACCCGCAAACAATCATCAATACAGTAAATCTATCAAACCCTAAAAGGAACTACTCTATTGACATGAAGAAGTTCTTCACAAATATAACAAAAATATAGGAAAACATAAATTCAATCCAATCCTGGGTCTTGAGTGAGGAAGGAATGATGAAATCCTTGTGCTTGTGTTCTTCCCACTCCTACTTAGCTTCCTTAGGTAAAAAATGTGTCAAAAGTCACGAAAATCGTGTTTTCTGGTGTATTTAAGCCATCCCACAATAAACCCCGAAAGAAATTACCCTTTCTCAACCGAAATAGGAAATCACTATAGCATTTTTGTGCTACCGCACCGGCCCATGCGGCGCGCTTGTGGGGAATTCCAGAACATTTGCCAAAATCATTTCTGGGCACATTTTGTACTGCCTCGGTGCCCCATGCGGCGCGACTGTGCATTTTTCGTAGAGTGAATTCATTTCTTCAAATTTTGACATCCGGAATTGGTCCTCGACCCCTGAACGTGACCCGTCTTAATTTCTTGGGCTTCTACTTAGACTTCAAAGCTCCAAATAGCTCAAATTAGCTCCACAACATCTACATAACTCAGAATCACTCCTACAAGGCATAAAACACACAATAAGTGCAAAAACACTCCCAATTATAGCTCAACACAAGTGAAGTGTAGTGAATTAGAGAGCAATAAGCGACGAAAACACGGGATTATAGCCTACCATCAACACGCCACACTTAAATCATTGCTCGTCCTCGAGCAATCAAACTTCAATTCACATAGACACGACCTTTTTAAATAACTCTCCTAACTCATCACGCCAGGAATAATCAAATAGACTAACCACAATACCGTGATTCCTCGCCTCAAGAGTTGACTCAAGAAAACTACCCATTTTTTACAACCACCCACTTACTCTAACACAGAGGTCGATGATGACATTACCTTTCCTTCGTGAGTCAAGTGCCCTCACACAACAATAGAGAGTAGTTCCACAAATAATAAAGTTTAAGAACAATTAGGAACTCAAGATAGAAAGAATTCACTTACTCTCAGAAGTAACATTCATGAGCCACAAAAGACACACCATAAGCTTGCCCGTAATGTACTACTTTACTAATTGAGCTCATTCAGTCAAGGATCAAGTAGGACTTTATTTGGTTGTAATGTAAGATACGAGATGGGTAGTGATGAGTGGTGATTTTACCACTCATTCTAGCCTCTTTTCCTTAGCTTTTATGTCCTTTTAATTATAAAATGAGGTTGTTTATGGTGTTTATTGTTAGATTTTCAGGTACATGATGCTACGAGGTGATTTGAGTTGAATTGAAGCGGAATTAAGCTAAAAAGAGTGAAACAGTGCAAAACTCCCAGTGATTCCGCTTCTGCGAAGTTTGCTCGCAGACGCGACCCCGTTTCTGCGTAAATACAAACGCTTCTGCGGTTCAAGCATGGATTGAGAAATTCCGCTTCTGCGGAGGACAAAGCGCAGAAGCGATCACGCTTCTGCGAAGAGCGAACAGCTTTTGCGAAATTGGCCGAGAATGGAGAAACCGCTTCTGCGGTTATTGTATCGCTTCAGCGATGTCGCTTCCGCGACTTTGGCATCGCTTCTGCGAAGCTTTGCAGGATTTCTATTTTCGCTTCTGCGATGAGATCTCTGCTTATGCGGAGCCGCACCTGTGATGGTTCTTCCGAAGGTGCGGAAATCGAGCATCAGACCTGGGGCAGATTGGACATTTCATAATTTCTCATCCCAAATCATTTTTATACTCGTCCAAGCAGATCTTTTGGCATATCTTTTGGCTTATTTTCAGTCCTCATAGACTAGAGAGAACATTTATTGAAGCTAGGGTTTTGCACACTCACTTGGGTCTTGAAGATTGAAGCTTGTGGTTAAGATTTTCTTACCCATTTATGTTTATTTCTTCATTTCCTTGCTTTGTATTGAATATTTAAGTGTGTAGTATTTATTTCCAACACTTGAACCTTGTTTATGGAAGTATTCATATTTAAAGTGTGGATTAAATACCTTATTGTGCTTATGTATTGAATGATTTTTATATATTTATGAAGTGAGTTATTATTACTTTAATTATTCTTGTTCTTTAATGTTTCCAAAGGGATTAGCTAACCCTAGGACTCGCCCATTAACTCCGAATTGATTTTGGGAAAGATAATTTGGGGTTGGGAAAGATTAATTAACAAGAACTTGAGGCGTTAACCCTCATGTTATAGATTCTACCTAGGGATAGGATTGAACTACTTGTAGCCATTCCGGGTGTGCTTAATCTTCTAATTGTTTTAGGGATAATTCAATTAGGAAGTCTTGTTAGTCTTCGGAAGAAGCTAATTAAGAATTACTATCCGTGGCTAATTAACATAAACTCGCTCATATTTGTAAAATCATGAAATACATTGGATCGTTACTTGAGTGTAATTCCCGATGCAACCATACTTGTATCCATTGATCATTTTACTTGGTTTCTAGGTTAGTTTACATTTCCGCNGGAAAACATAAATTCAATCCAATCCTGGGTCTTGAGTGAGGAAGGAATGATGAAATCCTTGTGCTTGTGTTCTTCCCACTCCTACTTAGCTTCCTTAGGTAAAAAATGTGTCAAAAGTCACGAAAATCGTGTTTTCTGGTGTATTTAAGCCATCCCACAATAAAACCCGAAAGAAATTACCCTTTCTCAGCCGAAATAGGAAATCACTATAACATTTTTGTGCTACCGCACCGGCCCATGCGGCGCGCTTGTGGGGAATTCCAGAACATTTGCCAAAATCATTTCTGGGCACATTTTGTACTGCCTCGGTGCCCCATGCAGCGCGACTGTGCATTTTTCGTAGAGTGAATTCGTTTCTTCAAATTTTGACATCCGGAATTGGTCCTCGACCCCTGAACGTGACCCCGCTTAATTTCTTGGGCTTCTACTTAGACTTCAAAGCTCCAAATAACTCAAATTAGCTCCACAACATCTACATAACTTAGAATTACTCCTACAAGGCATAAAACACACGATAAGTGCAAAAACACTCCCAGTTATAGCTCAACACAAGTGAAGTGTAGTGAATTAGAGAGCAATAAGAGACGAAAACACGGGATTATAGCCTACCATCAACACCCCACACTTAAATCATTGCTCTTCCTCGAGCAATCAAACTACACTTCACATAGACACGACCTTTTTAAATAACTCTCCTAACTCATCACGCCAAGAATAATCAAATAGACTAACCACAATACCGTGATTCCTCGCCTTAAGAGTTGACTCAAGAACACTACCCATTTTTCACAACCCACCCACTTACTCTAACACAGAGGTCGATGATGACATTACCTTTCCTTCGTGAGTCAAGTGCCCTCACACAACAATACAGAGTAGTTCCACAAATAATAAAGTTTAAGAACAATTAGAAACTCAAGATAGAAATAATTCACTTACTCTCAGAAGTAACATTCATGAGCCACAAAAGACACACCATAAGCTTGCCCGTAATGTACTACTTTACTAATTGAGCTCATTCGGTCAAGGATCAAGTAGGACTTTATTTGGTTGTAATGTAAGATACGAGATGGGTAGGATATATTTGGATATAAGTGTGACTACAATTCCCCAAGCACTTTAATACATACAATTTAACCATTCAAAACCTACCACTTATGTCAACCCAAAACTCCACCTTCATATCAATATTCGTCCACTCCCACTTCTTTAAGCACAAATACATCAAGAGTTACCACTATCAATGAACTTTTTTTCCACAAAATACAACTACTCATTTTTTCATTTGCTTTTTCAATTCAAGTGGCTCTTACTCTTTCAAAACAGTGCACCTTTCTCCTTATTTCAATAGTTTCACTCAAAAGCCAAACCAACACCCCACACTTTAACTTTTACCAATTTCATAACAAATTCAAGTGCTCAAGAGAGGTGAAAGATTCAAATATATAGTCAATTCAAACAAATGGGTGAGTCTTGTAACATGGTTGCCAAAGAAACAAGATTACATGCCCAAATGGGTTAACTAAGATACAGAACAATTAGGTGGTTAAAAGCATATAACTGGCTCAACAAAGAGACGCCTATATCATTTCCAAGACTAAATAAAACTACAATTTCGCTTTGCAAATACACGGGGCAGGTTCTAGATATCAAATACAATACATAGAATACACAAAACCTCACAGACACACGGCACATAACTCACTCAGGATCGGACTCATCAAGACACTCTAGTCTAAGCAGTTAAACAAAGTTAAGATTATACAATTTAATGTACTTATACAAGAGTAAAAAATGAGCCTAGGCGTCACAACTAAGGCACTCACTACTCTCACGGCACAACAACATCAAGAATAGTCATCTTTATTTAATACATAGCACAAGACCTCATTGTTCCTAATAAAAGAAAAACTAACTATACCCGGTTCAAACAAAATACTTGGAAAAGAACCGCGATACAATAAAAACCAAGGGGGATTTATTGCACTACCTAAGAAAAACAAAAAATATTTTTCTTGACTTTAATCCCTCAAGAAGACAGCCGAGGAAATCTATCGTGGGGAAAAGTCAAAATTTCCAATCAAAAGAAACGATTACAAACACACATATACATATATACATTCCCCACCCCACACATTAAATCGTGGCATGTCCCCATGGCACACAATTAAAAAGCATAAGGTAAAGGAAACTTCCCGAAATATCTAATCGGTGTCTGAGTCGAAGTTGGGATCCATGCCTCACGCCTGAACTAATGCACACATCTATGCAGAAAGCTTCTTCTCAGCCTTCTTTGGGTATACCCCACACTTATCTTTCTCACTAACCGCAACCTTCTCTTTTGCGCCCTTTACTTTCCATCCAACACTCGCAGTTGGTTTGTCCTTTTGTGCCCCCTTTGCTACATCCATCTTAAAAAACACAGTTTCCTCACCCACTCTAAGCATGAGTTTTCTCCCTTGTATATCTAATATAGCTTTACCCGCCGCTAAGATTGGTCTTCCTAGGATGAGGGGGGCCTTATTGTTTTCTTCCATATTTACCACTATAAAATCCACTGGAAATACAAACTTAACCACCCGAACTAACACATCTTCCACTATCCCCTCGGGTGTTATAGTCGTTTGGTCTGCCAACTGCAAGGATATGGGTGCAGACCCTATCTCTCCAATCTTCTTCTCCAATTTCCTGTAGATAGATAGAGGCATTAGATTAATTGAAGCACCAGAATCACATAAGGATTTATCAAAATTAACAGTTCCTAAAGAAAAAGGTATATTAAAACCCCCTGGATCTCTAAACTTTTGTGGGAGTTTATTTTGCAATATCGCGCTATAATGCTCTGTGATCTTGACCACTAAGGTCTCCTCTATTTTTCTCTTCTTCGAAAGGATCTCTTTCAAGAATTTAGCATAAGCAGGCATCTGTGAGTGGTAAGTTTACATGAACCTGTTTGAGCACATCCAAGAATCTCGAACTTCTTGTCCATCTTTTCTCTACTTAGATTTTGGGGAAAAGGTAGCGCAGGCATATGCTTGCTCGCCTTAGGTTCCTCCCTTTTCGTATTTTCTTCCTTTTTCTTTTCTACATCACTTTTTAGCTGCTCCCCTCTTTCTTTTTCAAGTCTCATGTCCTTTTGGATTGGGGTGAGATGTTTCAACACTCGCCCACTTCTCAGAGTCGCAACATTCACAGTTTCTTTGGGATTTCTTTCTGTATCGGCCAGGAGCATTCCTGGGACCTTCTCAGACATTAGAGTAGCTAGGTTCCCAACCTGTCTTTCCAGGTTTCGAAAGAATGTGCCCAGTTCTTTGAAAGATGCACCCTCTCATCTGTCTTGATAATGAAGGCCTTCATTAGATCTTCCATGCAAGACTAATTAGATTGTGGAGGCTGATACTTCTGCCTATGCTGATTTTGAAAACCTGGAGCTCCTTGTCCCTGGAATCTGGGGTTGTTTTGTTGCCATGGATTTACGGTACCCCCTAGGAGAAATCCATGAAAAACCGAGGTGCCTTTAACCCATTGCATTAAAATTATAGTTTTCCACAACATTCACTTCCTCAGTTGCGACTTGACACTCATGATCAAGGTGNATGCCAAATCTAGCATCATGGAGAAGATCCATCTCCAGGTATCAAGTACTTCGGACAAATCCATGTCTAGTTAAATCCATCCCTCCATAATATATATATATATATATATATATATATATATATATATGCAAATATTTCTCTCTTTCTCCCCTTTTCTCTTTTTTTTTTATACAAGTTTTCTTTTTGGAGCTTGAATAATTTAGCACACACACTTTGAGGTATATGATTCTACACTCAATGTACCACCTTACCACTTTCCATTTTGACATCACACCCCCAACTTAGGCTTTTAGCCTCATTCGCAATGTTCAAGGAGGGACGGGTTCAACAGAGGGAATTATTTTACAAAAAGGGAAAGGTTTGTAATGAGGTAGCAAAAGAAAAGGTTAAAGGCTCAAATGGGGTGACTAAGGATGTTAACTGCACAATGGGTGGCTTGAAAGGCTAACTGGCTTGAAAGTCACAAAGACTGCCTAAGGTCATCTCTCCAACCAAGTGCAATTATTATAAGCGTTGAAAGACCAACCGGGCAAGTTGTAGATGGCAGAAGTAAACACAAGAATTATACACCCCAAAAGAACTCACACACATGGCACACGAACTGTTTGGCTCACATAGTCTGAAATCCTCGAGTCAACACTTGGAAACTCAAAGCTTTCATCATATGTATAGGTATAATTCTAGGTAAACATAGAGCCACAGAGTGAGCCTCAAGTTCACACAGTTGATAGTTTTCTCTAGAAGGGTATATGCTATTACAAACACACATGCTTGAGACTAGACAATTACACCACACAGTTCAAGGTATTTCATTCTACTGTCCTGGTTCTACTATTACACCCTTGGAAAAGAACCTGGCGAAAAAAAACCAAAGGGAATTCATTGCTAATTACTAAAGATGGATGACTATCTACTTGTTTTTTTTTATATGCATCAGGGTATCATATTCACAAAGGTACCATAACCTCTGCATCTAAATCACAGAAACACTAATATAAACATGCTCACAAACTAAACAACACCACTAATATAAACATGCTCACAACTAACAACACAACTTCTGTACAGAACCCATATTAACATACAAAGGACACAAAAATACACATATGTCCAGCAGTTGCTAATGTCACAAAGATACCAGTATCACAAGGCTAACAAAATGTCATCACAAGGCTACCACCCCCAACTTAAGATCATGCATTGCCCCCAATGCAGAAAAATAAAAACAAAGAGTGTAAGGGGCTCCCTGAGGCGCACTAAGCGCTATGGGAGTCAGTAGCCTGCTCTGTGCTAGGAGGGTCACTCTCCGAGGCTGGAACTGAGATTGAGGGTTCGGCCTGAGGAGGAATCACAACTGCAGGAGAAATCTCTGGATGGTCCATAACTGGGGTTGGGACCCGTGAGCTGCTAGCCTCGCCCGATGATGGCTGAGAGACCGATGGATCTGTAGTGGTGGCCAAATCTGCTAGAGATTGTTCCATTGCTATCTTGAGCTGTACTCGCTCCACCTCCTCAACAGTCGGAGTGAGAATTTGCTTGCCCTTCTCCTGAGGGCCATCATCATCTGAAAATCTAGAACTCACCTCTTCCTCACCTTCATCTGTCTCTTCATCCTCGGACGCAGTGGATCATCTGGAACCCTCCTCATCAGAAATGTCAATGCGTGCAGGAGGAGCTGGAGGTTGGGAGGACCCGGCTATAGGAGGGGCAACGTCAGCCATAAGTGTCGAGAAGTCAAGGCCCAAGTCCGGAGCAGTTGTGCCTGTAACCTGATTACCATCTGTGGGAAGGAGGGATGATAGATCGAACTCCAAGTTCTGCATCTTTTGGAGCTCGATCTTCATAGAAGCAACCTCCTCCTTGAGGCTAGTCAGCTCACTAACTTCACCCCGCTCTATCTTCTCAACCCTCAACTCAAGTTGCTGCAAACGATCCTCATACACTGAGTGTTGCTGTTGGAGGGCTGCCACTGCGGATTGCATATGAGTCATTGCTTGCTTTATGAGATTGGGCAGTGTCTTTAAAAGCTGGTCTACCTTGGCATTGGCATGCTGAGCCAAGAGACCAAGCTTTGAGACAGCAGGAATGGCCATAGCAGGCCGGAGAGTGGTGGATTGAGAAGTAGGCTCAAAAGTGGAAGGAGAAACCACTGTAACCTGAGGAGCCACCGGAGTCGCTGTGCTCTAGATCAACTGGATCCTGAACCCGAGCCCGTGGTGGGGCAGCAACATCAGTGATACGATTGATATCAATATCCCTTGTCTCCTTCCCGGTTTTTTCATAGTGTGGCAGGAGGGGAACTTTCGCAGCTTTACAAAGGTCGGTGATCAGGCACGGGAAGGGAAGTGAAGTAGCATGTTGCGTTGCCCGGATCCCTATTTCTTGGAAGATCAACGCTCCAACATCTATCTTGATACCAGTCATGATGCAGGCAATGAGAAGGGCCTTCTCAATGGCTATTTCAATTTCATTCCGAGTTGGCATCAACCGAGAAGTAACAAAACCGAGCCAGTAGCGACCCTCTCTCGTGAGATCCTCCTTATATATCTTGTGCCGAGGGTTGATCCAAGCGGGAGTCCCCTTTGCTATTACTGATGCTATCCACCCACGTTCATTTTCCCTATTCGCGAATTTAGCATTGTATTCAGCGGTGCCTGTCCTCTAACCAGGGAAGTACAACTCATTTATGGTGTTAACGTGGCAGCATACACTCTCCCCCCGAACAATGACAGTATCAGTGAAGATTCTGTATCGTTTGTGGTGTGCTGTCCTCGAGGCTGCGTAGGAAGCATAGAATTCCCTCACAAGGGTCTCATTGTACTCAGTGGGTGGCTTGGCAAACACTCCCATCTCCGTGCTTTTATGTTTTCCAGTATATGGGGGTACTGGTCTTTCAATCCGTTCAAACTCAATTGTTTTTCGGCCAGGATGTTGCGCTTGGTCAGTCCCTCTCTATATAGTTGCCTGGACCCCTCGACCCCAAATCAGAGTTGGAAGTCTTCTCCTCATTTCCTTCTNGATAGTATAGTATAATATCGAGTCTACAGGGATAGTTTTTAAATAGTATTCTCGTAGTTTCAAGCTTGATTGCTATCCAAGAGGATCAACAGTTGAGATTTATAAGATTAATAGTAAAATTTAACTAAGAATGTAAAATCTACAGCTATTGACTAGGGACTATCAAAACAAGGAATAAGCAATTAAGATTATCAGTGTGAGAGGATAGGGTTTTGACAGAATAAGTGCAAGATAATTGTTCGGGATCTAACTCTAGATAATTCACTTCCGATGTTCAAGTGAGTCTCTCGAATTCACTCTATATTAGTTCAAACGTTCAACAAAAACTCCTCTCTCGATTAAGTCTTAACCTCACGAGATGAACCAATTTAAGCACTGTGAAGTGGATGGGTCTTTAGGAAATCCTCTTTTGATTATTCTCCTAGATAGGTTTAATCAATGATTAAAATAGCCTCTTTCGATTACTTAGAAGAATCTATGAACTCAACCAACAATATAATGGAAAGATATCACAAGTTATGCCTCTTTACATAACAAGAATTAGTGAATATAGATGCAATAATTAAATCTTCCAAAACGATACAAATACATAAAAATAGAGTTTTAACCCAAAGCAATCATCAATACACCAAATCCATTGATGATTCCTTTTAGAGTTTCAAACCCTAAAAGGAACTACTCCATTGACATGGAGAGGTTCTTCACAAATTTAACAAAAACATAGAAAAACATAAACTCAATCCAAACTCGGGTCTTGAGTGAGGAAGGAATGATGAAATCCTTGTGCTTGTGTTCTTCCCACTCCTCCTTAGATTCCTTAGGTAAAAAATTTGTCAAAAGTCACGAAAATTGTGTTTTTTGGTGTATTTAAGCCACCCCCAATAAACCCCGAACAAAATGACCCTTTCTCAGTCGAAATGGGAAGTCACTATAACATTTTTGTGCTACCGCGCTGCCCCATGTGGCGCGCTTGTGAGGAATTCCAGAACATCTGCCAAAATCATTTCCCGACACATTTTGCACTGCCGCGGTGCCCCATGCGGCGCGGCTGTGCCTTTTTTTAGAGTGAATTTGTTTCTTCAATTTTTGATATTCGGAATTGGTCCTCGACCCTCGAACGTGATCCGACTTAATTTCTTGGGCTTCTACTCAGACTTTACAGCTTGAAATAGCTCGAATAGGTCTTCTCTAGTTGGCGGCCAGCCTCCTCCAAAGACTGATATGCCTCTCCAACCTTCCCCTATCGTTCCTAACCCTACTACACAATCAAAAATACCCCTGGATTACTCCCACATACTAAAACCTAGCACCATTAATGCAGCCATGCATGAACGTGTCTCATCTGTTGAGCCTATTCCATTGAGATGAGCATCGTTTTTGAATGGACAACCATTAGTCAACTTTATGGAGGCAGAAATTGAGCGAATGAATATTATAGAAGGACTTCAATATGCTGTGGTTGGAAAATTTGCGTATGGATGGCCAGAATTGCAAGAAATCCGTCGCATTGTACCCGCTCAATGTGGAATCAAGGGGGAATATAGTATTGGATTTCTTAGAGATAGGCATGTGCTCATTCGACTTAATTTATGATAATATTTCATTGATTTTACGTCGAAGGGTGCTTATTGTGTCAAAG